CGTCCGGACGCTGCGACACCGCCGACAGCCAGCCGCGCGCAGACGCGTACGCGGCCGCGTAGTGACACCCACGCGACTCTCAGATGCACTTCATGGGCCATGTCCGCGGAGCCTGGGCGCGGTCACCGCCTCTCCCTCCGGCCCCTCCCTCTCCTTTCCCGGCTTCAGCCGGCCTCCCTTCGCCCACGCACGCACCCCGCATCGCTCAGTCCCCCCGACGCCCCCGCCGGCCGCCGCGCCGGGTTCCTTCAGCCGGGTTCCCCCAGGACCTGCAGGGAGCGGCGCTGGGCTCACGGTCCCCGTCTGGCCCCGCCTCACCTACTCTGCGACCTTGGCAAGTTACCCGGTGTCTGTGGGCCTGGGTCCTCGCACCTGGTCCCAGCTAACAAAGCGTAAAAGCCAGCCTTGGAAAACTCCCATTTTTCCACGGACCCTTCCCAATATCAATATTAGATCATCGTTTTTTATATAATTTTACTGACATGTAGCCTTTGTTTTGTTTTTAAGATTTTCATGGGCCTTAAAATTTTTATTTTTTTAAATGTGAGAAATAAAAACCTTAAAGGTTTTTTCTTTCTTTCTTTAAAAGAGATGACCATTTGGGGGCCGTAGGCTCCAGCTCCAAGCAGACAATCCCTCCACAGAGATGGAGTTGGTTGGTGACCCCGTGTGCCACATAGTCACGGAGATGTCCCATGCTCCCAGAGTTACCACAGGAGGGAATAAAACCGACAAACATTTCCAAAAATTCTCCCCCTTAAATAAGTTCACACTCTAATGGGCGTAATAAAAGACACACAGGTCAAACCCAGAGCATGCCGTGGGCTTCGGCCTCAGACCAGGACAAGTTAGTGGGGACTGGACTTACCGCCCTGCCCGAAACAACTAAAAAAAGGAGCAAAGACCCCAAGCAACGTTCTTCAGACATTGCATCCCAGGCAGCTCAGGCAATGGGACCCTGGAGTGAAGGGAAACTAACGAGCTACAGGCCGCAGTGGAGGACGGAGACCCAAACACAGCCGCAGCCTCCTGACTGAGGTGGGGGACAGAGGGAGTGAGAAGTCACAGGGCAGAGCACAGAGACAGGACAGCCGCCTGCACCCAGCGCTCAGCAGGGGGTCTCGAGTCTGCAGCCGGTGCCCACCGGGGCATTCGCAGAACCTACCAGACAGGTGCAAGAGGAAGCAGACCCTTCCAAGTTCGCACAGGGCTGGCAGGAGCTCACCTGTGTGAGGGGGGAAGCGAAACCTAGAAACAGGTGCACAGAAAGACGCTGCCTCGATCCGCCGGCCCACCCGAGACCACACCCGGCCCCACCAGCAAAGCTTAAAAGCAAGCCTCGAAAGGGTCCGGTCATCTCTGAGGAACTGAATTGCATCCGAGGAGCAAACATAAAGTTATTTAAATGAGAAGATAATTCAGCACCCAACGATGTAAAATTCACCCACGTAAATGTCTGACAGCCAGTTGAAAACACTCCCAGGCAAGCAAAGCAGCAGCAAAATGCGAGTGGGGAGAAAAAGATGTTAGAAACGGAGCCACGAGCGACACAGATGATGCGCTGTCTATTTTAATGTCCTTGATGGCAAGGATATTAACATAGACGTTGCTAGCGTATTTCATATATGCAAGAAGCTGGGGCATAGGAGCGTGGGAGACCACGAGAAAGACAAACTGAACTTCCGAAGATGAAGGGTAGGTCTGTGATAAAAACACACCGGATGGGATCAACAGCAGATTAGACCGCAGACGAAAGACTAGGGAACCTGAAGATAAAGCGTTAGACTCTCCTGAAAAACTGGATAAAGAACAGCAGCGTTGAAAGGTAAGGTTTGCGCTAATGCTTGTATTAAAGCTTCAGGGAGCCGCTGGCCTCAGACGCACAGTCGGAGCCCCAGGAGAAGCAAGGACGAGGGAAAAGAAAAACAATTCTGAAGAAATAATGGCTAAACTTTTTCCAAATTTGGTGAAAACTAGAAACCCGTGGAACCCAGAAACTGAATGGACCCCAAGCCCAAGAAATATGAAGAAAACGACACCGAACCACATCGCGATCAAAGTGCTCAAAACCAGTGATAATGAGAAAACACGGAATGCAGCTGTTGCACAGAGCACAGCGTGGAAGGTGATGACGGCGGATTCTCGTCAGACGCAGCGCGGGCCAGTACAGGGAAGCGACGTTCGACATCCCCCCGACGGAAACGAAATAAACGATTGGGAATGATACGCTCGGCGAAAACACCTCTGAAAAGTGAAGGCGAAACGCAGCTTTTCCCGACACGCAAAGGCAGAAGGAACGGAAACATTTCAAGAACTGTGACATGAGGTTCTCTGGGCAGAGGGGACGCTGTGTCACCCGGGGACACGCATCACCGGGGCACCAACGAATGCCAGAAACGGGAGACGGAAGGCAAGTTTTTCTTCTTTTTAAACTACTTTAGAAGGTAATCGACTGTTTCGAGCAAGCGTAGTAACAGTATGTTAGAGAATTTCTAGCCAAGGTCAAGGTAAACTCCATGACCACGGCAGTGCAAACGGGCGGGGAGATGAGAAGCAGAAGTTCATTCTACTCCGTGGACGTGAAGCATTTCTCGAACGTGGACCGTGATAAGTTAGAGATGTGGGCTCTACACACGAAAGTAGCCACTGAAAAAGAAGCAAAGGAAAATCAAAGAGCTCCACCCAAGGAAGCAACGAAGGAGATAAAATAGAACCATCAAGAATTAATCTATTAGTCAAAGAGAAGGCAGAGAAAGAGGGAAAAAGAAAAAATGGGACAGAGAGAAGACAGACGGCAGGATGAGAGACTGAATCCCAACTACTCAAGTCACACCACACGGTCCAAACGCCCCGACTGGAAAGCAGAGGTCGTCAGAGTGGATCCAATGGGGCAGAGCCGAGCGTACGGGGCGTTCGAGAAACACGCCGTGCGTGTGAAAACACCAGCGCGGTAAAGGTCAAAGGATGGAGGAAGCCACACGATGCTAAGAGAGAGCAGGCGGCGGGAACGACCGCATCCGCATCACGCAAAGTGGGCTTCGGAGCGAAGGACATTAACCCGGAGTGCGGGGGAGCGTTACGTAACCGTCGGAGGGTCGGTTCGTGGAGGGGACAGGGAGTCCTAATGTTTATGCACCTAACAGCCGAGCTTCCAGATACACAAAACAGAAAGAAATCAACACCGCTGCCTAAAGAACTGACAGAAGCGGACGAAACCAGCATGGGTAAAGCGGGGCGGAGAAGGCTGCCCGCCGACCCCGCCTGCTGGGCAGGTGAGTACCGCTGACCGGCGGGCAACGCGGGGCTTCGGGGACCGGCCGCGTGTGTGCTTAAAAATCTGAGTCTGACCTGAGTTGGCCCTCTGCATCCGAGGATGCCCAACCGCAGACTGAAAACACAGCTGAGCATTGAACAACACGGGTTTGGACTTGAAGGGTCCACTTGCTGTCTACGGGTGAGATCGCACAGTTCAAACCCGCACTGTCCAGGCGTCACCTGCAGAGAACGCTTCGCCCAACAGGACACATTCTTTTCACATACACACAGAGTGGTTTTTGCCAAGGCGGACTGTATTCTGGGCCGTAAAACAAACCTCAATAAATTTACAAGCATTCAAATCGTGCAAATTGTTTTCTTGAACTACAGTGAAATTAAATGAGAAACCAAGAACAGAAAAATATCCGTAAGATCTCCGAATATTGAGAAACAGAAGAATGCATTTCTAAATACCTTATGGGTCGAAGGAGAAATTTAAAAGGAAATTCGAAAGTATTTCCGACTGAATGAAAATGAAAACAATACATCAGTTGGTGGATGCAGCTACAGCAGTGTTGAAAGGTAAGGTTTGCGCTAATGCTTGTATTAAAAAAAGATTTTCTTGTTGACCTTCAAAAGAAAACAGTCAATTATATCTTACCAGCAAAAACAGGTTTATGTGGGAAAAACACAGAATTGCAATTCGGGACACGCAACCTATAGCAAAAGCCATCAGCAAGTCCAACGAAGGAGAGGAACAGTCAACAGTATTTTATAAAAAAAAAAAAAAAGGAGGAAATCGAGAGGGATCGTTTGAAAAAGTCCATTGGGTCGAAATGCAGGAGTTCGCAGTCTGCCACGGGCTGAGCGGCTGGCCCGTCCCTTACAGGAGATGCAGCGTGTGACTTTTCCCGCTGCTGCTTCGCGTTGGGTCTGCGATCGCTAGTGTGTCCCGCGGCTAACACGGGGTGCCGTGCGAGCGCTCCCCCTTCTGGCCTCCTGCCTACACTTCAGCCCGGTTTCCCTTCATTCATTCTGTCTCAACACGATGACCTAAGCGGCTGCCTTC